TTAGGAATTTTTCATAACAAGATACCGTCAAGACGAGATATAAAAGGTAAACATACCACGGAGTGAAGGCCGCTGACAGCCTACTCTATGGCAATTTACACACAGAAACGAACTCAGACACAATATTCTTGCTTATGTCACATTTTCTCCACGAGTATTGGGTCTACGGACTTCAAACTTGTTGGACAATGAAGCCAGACTAACTAGCTCTCCATACATGTCAAAAAAATCAGGAATTTTTCATATAAGATACCGTCAAGACGAGATATAAAAGGTAAACATACCACGGAGTGAAGCCCGCTGACAGCCTACTCTATGGCAATTTACACACAGAAACAAACTCGGACAAAATATTCTTGCTTATGTCACATTTTCTCCACGAGTATTGGGTCTACGGACTTCAAAATTTTGGACAATGTAGCCAGTCTAACAAACTCTCCATATATGTCCAAAAAATCAGGAATTTTTCATAAGATACCGTCAAGACGAGATATAAAAGGTAAACGCACCACGGAGTGAGGCCCGCTGACAGCCTACTCTATGGCAATTTACACACAGAAACAAACTCGGACAAAATATTCTTGCTTATGTCACATTTTCTCCACGAGTATTGGGTCTACGGACTTCAAACTTGTTGGACAATGAGCCAGCCTAACTAGCTCTCCATACATGTCAAAAAAATCAGGAATTTTTCATAATAAGATACCGTCAAGACGAGATATAAAAGGTAAACGCACCACGGAGTGAGGCCCGCTGACAGCCTACTCTATGGCAATTTACACACAGAAACAAACTCGGACAAAATATTCTTGCTTATGTCACATTTTCTCCACGAGTATTGGGTCTACGGACTTCAAATTGTTGGACACAATGAAGCCAGACTAACTAGCTCTCCATATATGTCAAAAAATCAGGAATTTTTCATAATAAGATACCGTCAAGACGAGATATAAAAGGTAACATACCACGGAGTGAAGCCCGCTGACAGCCTACTCTATGGCAATTTACACACAGAAACAAACTCGGACAAAATATTCTTGCTTATGTCACATTTTCTCCACGAGTATTGGGTCTACGGACTTCAAAATTGTTGGACAATGTAGCCAGTCTAACTAGCTTTCCATATATGTCCAAAAAATCAGGAATTTTTTATAATAAGATACCGTCAAGACGAGATATAAAAGGTAAACATACCACGGAGTGAAGCTCGCTGACAGCATACTCTATGGCAATTTACACACAGAAACAAACTCGGACAAAATATTCTTGCTTATGTCACATTTTCTCCACGAGTATTGGGTCTACGGACTTCAAACTTGTTGGACAATGTAGCCAGACTAACTAGCTCTCCATATATGTCAAAAAATCAGGAATTTTTTATAATAAGATACCGTCAAGACGAGATATAAAAGGTAAAAGCACCACGGAGTGAGGCCTGCTGACAGCCTACTCTATGGCAATTAACACACAGAAACAAACTCAGACAAAATATTCTTGCTTATGTCACATTTTCTCCACGAGTATTGGGCTACGGACTTCAACTTGTTGGACAATGTAGCCAGTCTAACTAACTCTCCATATATGTCCAAAAAATCAGGAATTTTTAATATAATTACCGTCAAGACGAGATATAAAAGGTAAACATACCACGGAGTGAGGCCCGCTGACAGCCTACTCTATGGCAATTTACACACAGAAACAAACTCAGACAAAATATTCTTGCTTATGTCACATTTTCTCCACGAGTATTGGGTCTACGGACTTCAAAATGTTGGACAATTGTAGCCAGTCTAACTAGCTCTCCATACATGTCCAAAAAATCAGGATTTTTTTATAATAAGATACCGTCAAAACGAGATATAAAAGGTAAACATACCACGGAGTGAAGCTCGCTGACAGCATACTCTATGGCAATTTACACACAGAAACAAACTCGGACAAAATATTCTTGCTTATGTCACATTTTCTCCACGAGTATTGGGTCCTACGGACTTCAAACTGTTGGACAATGTAGCCAGTCTAACTAGCTCTCCATATATGTCCAAAAAATCAGGAATTTTTTTATAATAAGATACCGTCAAGACGAGATATAAAAGGTAAACACCACGGAGTGAGGCCGCTGACAGCCTACTCTATGGCAATTAACACACAGAAACAAACTCAGACAAAATATTCTTGCTTATGTCACATTTTCTCCACGAGTATTGGGTCTACGGACTTCAAACTTGTTGGACAATGTAGCCAGTCTAACAAACTCTCCATATATGTCCAAAAAATCAGGAATTTTTTATAATAAGATACCGTCAAGACGAGATATAAAAGGTAAACACCACGGAGTGAGGCCCGCTGACAGCCTACTCTATGGCAATTTACACACAGAAACAAACTCGGACAAAATATTCTTGCTTATGTCACATTTTCTCCACGAGTATTGGGTCTACGGACTTCAAATTGTTGGACGTTGTAGCCAGTCTAACAAACTTTCCATATATGTCCAAAAAATCAGGATTTTTTTATAATAAGACACCGTCAAAACGAGATATAAAGGTAAACATACCACGGAGTGAAGGCCGCTGACAGCCTACTCTATGGCAATTTACACACAGAAACAAACTCGACAAAATATTCTTGCTTATGTCACATTTTCTCCACGAGTATTGGGTCTACGGACTTCAAAATGTTGGACAATGTAGCCAGTCTAATAACTAACTCTCCATATATGTCCAAAAAATCAGGAATTTTTTTATAATAACACCGTCAAAGACGAGATATAAAAGGTAAACATACCACGGAGTGAAGCTCGCTGACAGCATACTCTATGGCAATTTACACACAGAAACAACTCGGACAAAATATTCTTGCTCATGTCACATTTTCTCCACGAGTATTGGGCCTACGGACTTCAAACTTGTTGGACAATGTAGCCAGTGTAATAGCTTTCCATATATGTCAAAAAATCAGGAATTTTTTCATAATAATACCGTCAAGACGAGATATAAAAGGTAAAAGCACCACGGAGTGAGGCCTGCTGACAGCCTACTCTATGGCAATTTACACACAGAAACAAACTCAGAGACAAAATATTCTTGCTTATGTCACATTTTCTCCACGAGTTTTGGGTCTACGGACTTCAAACTTGTTGGACAATGAAGCCAGACTAACTAGCTCTCCATACATGTCAAAGAAATTAGGAATTTTTCATAACAAGATACCGTCAAGACGAGATATAAAAGGTAAACATACCACGGAGTGAAGGCCGCTGACAGCCTACTCTATGGCAATTTACACACAGAAACGAACTCAGACAAAATATTCTTGCTTATGTCACATTTTCTCCACGAGTATTGGGCCTACGGACTTCAAACTTGTTGGACAATGTAGCCAGTGTAACTAGCTCTCCATATATGTCCAAAAAATCAGGAATTTTTATAATAAGATACCGTCAAGACGAGATATAAAAGGTAAAAGCACCACGGAGTGAGGCCGCTGACAGCCTACTCTATGGCAATTTACACACAGAAACAAACTCAGACAAAATATTCTTGCTTATGTCACATTTTCTCCACGAGTATTGGGTCTACGGACTTCAAAATTGTTGGACAATGTAGCCAGTCTAACTAGCTCTCCATATATGTCAAAAAAATCAGGAATTTTTCATAACAAGATACCGTCAAGACGAGATATAAAAGGTAAAGCACCACCACGGAGTGAGGCCTGCTGACAGCCTACTCTATGGCAATTTACACACAGAAACAAACTCAGACAAAATATTCTTGCTTATGTCACATTTTCTCCACGAGTATTGGGTCTACGGACTTCAAACTTGTTGGACAATGTAGCCAGACTAACTAGCTCTCCATATATGTCCAAAAAATCAGGAATTTTTTATAATAAGATACCGTCAAGACGAGATATAAAAGGTAAACATACCACGGAGTGAAGCTCGCTGACAGCATACTCTATGGCAATTTACACACAGAAACAAACTCGGACAAAATATTCTTGCTTATGTCACATTTTCTCCACGAGTATTGGGTCTACGGACTTCAAACT